GCCTGGTTTTGTCAGAGAAGTGTAACATACGTAAGAGTAAGATAAACCTGTTCACTGGGATGATTTCACTGAAGACTGGGGTAGAAATTAGCTGATCTGTGGACCAGTATGCTTTTATATTATGCTTATAGACATGAGGCATAAGCATTTTTTTTTTTTTTTTCAACAAGTCGGCCGTCTCCCACCGAGGCAGGGTGACCCAAAAAAGAAAGAAAATCCCCAAAAAGAAAATACTTTCATCATCATTCAACACTTTCACCACACTCGCACATTATCACTGTTTTTGCAGAGGTGCTCAGAATACAACAGTCTAGAAGCATACACATATAAAGATACACAACATATCCCTCCAAACTGCCAATATCCCAAACCCCTCCTTTAAAGTGCAGGCATTGTACTTCCCATTTCCAGGACTCAAGTCCGACTATATGAAAAAAACCGGTTTCCCTGAATCCCTTCACTAAATATTACCCTGCCCACACTCCAACGATTGTCAGGGCCCAAGTACCATTTGTCTCCATTCACTCCTATCTAACACGCTCACGCACGCTTGCTGGAAGTCCAAGCCCCTTACCCACAAAACCCCTTTACCCCCTCTCTCCAAACCCCTTTCGGGGAAACCCCCCAAACCCCGCCCCCCTTCCCCTAAGATTTAATCTTTCCATTCATTCTTGTGATCCATTCTCTCTAAATACCAAACCACCTCAACAACCCTTTTCTCCCCTCTGACTAATATTTTTATTACCCCAAACCCCTTTCCTTTTTTTCCCACTCCGAATTTTCGCATAATTTTTACACCACACTTTGCCCTTAAAAGGACATCTCTGTGCCTCCAACCGTCCCCCTCGCTGCGCATTTACCACCAAGCTTCACACCCAAATAAGAGTTTTTGGTACTACATACTTTCATACTTTCCCTTCTTTGCCTCCATAGATAAGTTTTTTACTCCACATAACCTAAACCACCACTCCCTTTTTTCCCTCATCAATCTAGTTTAACCTCATCCTTCATAAATCCATCCCCCGACACGTCAACCCCCAAGTTCGAAACACACTTTTTCCCCATACTCCCCCCCCCAATTTAAAATATCCAATTTTTTTTTTATCTAAATCATTTGACACCCCATCCCCTTTACTTTTTCTTTTTTTTCACTTTAAACTTTCACCTTTACACACTTTCCCAAATACCACTAACCTTTGCATTTTTTTTGAATCCCCCAAAGCACAGATCATCACAAAAAGTAAAGTCAATTCCATTTTTAATTTGATTCCCCCTAATTTATCCCCCCCCTCCCAAACACCCCAGATTTACTTCCTTTACAACCCCCTCATAAATATATTAAACAACCTGGTGACTTACACATCCCTGTCTAAGACCCATTTTACCGGAATAGTCCCCTTCTTCTACCCCCTAACCTGACCCTACTACCTAAAAAAACTTTTTACAGCATTTAAATAATTTACCACCTATTCCTTATATTGCAACATCTCCCACATTGCTCCTCTATCCACCTATCTACCCTTTTTTCTAAATCCATAAATGCAATAAAAATTCCCTATCTTTATCTAAATACTGTTCACATTATCTTAAAATGTAAAACCTATCTACACATCCCCTACCCACTCAAAAACCTCCTTGTCACCCAATTACTTTTTGTCTTACCCAAATTTTTTTAAATTTTAAAACCCTACCGTCACTTTCCTGGTATACTCGTAAGGCTTATTTCTAAAAATTTTTTCAGTCTTTTTTGCCCCCTTTTCCCCTTTTATTAAAGGGACTATACATGCTCTCTCCCAAATCCCTAGGTACCTTCCCCTCTTTCTACATTTATTAAACAAAAGTCCCAAACCCACCCAAACTATATCCCCCCCTGTTTTTACATTTCTGCAAAAATCCCATCATTCCAGTGCTTTCCCCTTTCTTTTTACGTAAGCCCCGTCCTCCCCACCTTTTCGCTCTTTTTCACTCCTAAAAGATGGTTTTCCTCCTGCCAGGCTGAAATTACTGCCTCGTTCTTCCTTAAATTTAAAATTCCTCAAATATTCTCCCCATCTACCCAATACCTCCATCCCCCATCTACTAACTCCCCTCTCTTTTTTAACTGACAAATCCATTTTTTCCCCCTGGGCTTTCTTAATTTGTTTAACTCGCCCCAAAAATTTTTTTCTTATTTTCATTAAAATTTCTGACAGTGCCTCTCCCACTCTATCATCGCTCCCTTTTGCACTCTCTCCCCCCCTTTTCCTTTCTTTTACTCCCATATACTTGCTCTTCTTATAACACTTCTCTTTTTAAAAACCTCTCAAAGCTACCTTTTTCCTTTTATCACACCCCTTTTCTTCATCATTCCCCCAAACCTCCCTTCCTCCCGCCCCCACCCTCCTATAACCACAAACTTTTGCCCCACATTTTAAACTGCTTTTTAAAAATATTTCCAAACCCCCTTTTAACCCCCCCCCTACTCCTCTTTTCACTACCCACCTTTCTGCCAAAAGTCGTTTACCTCACCCGAACTTCCTCCCCCCTTAGTTTTTACACTTTCACCCCCCTTTTCTGTTTGTACCTTTCCCCTTTTCCCCTCTACCTCTTACTCAACTGTAGCTACAACTAAAAAATGTCCGATATAACATTGCCCCCCTATAAACATGTACATCCCGGGGCCACCCATCAACCTTTTTCCACCAATACATAATCTAATAAATACTTTCATTAGTTCTACACTACCTTTTTAAATTTTTTTATCCTTTTTTTCAAAAATATGTATTACTTATTACCAAATTTTTTTTCTACACATACTCAATTAAAGGCCCCCCCATTTACATTTACCCCTGGCCCCCCAAATTTACCTACTCTCCTCATAACTTTATTGTTGCAAAAAAGAAATACATTTCTGCAACGCTCTTTTCCCACCTGGTATTTGCGTGGTGTATGACATTTGCCATGGTGTACTCAAAAACTTATTTTTTTCGCGAAAATTTTCCATCAATGGCTGGTCAAACAAAAATTTAAAGAATTCCATTTCTTTGGGCCGGGGTTCCCAAGGGGACAAGTGGGTAAATTCCATTTTTGAGAGTCATAAAGTGGGAGGTTGGGAAAAAAATTGGGGTTTTGCTGCCAATCCCCAAAGGGTTTGCGGGTGGATACGGGACCAAGGGGGTTTGTGCGGGGGGTTGGGTGTGGTGGGCGGGTGGTGACCTCCATTTTTGTCCTTGAACTGACGATCAGCAGCGTGGGTCCCCCGCCTGGGCTTAGTCCAGCTGGCGGTGCCACTACCATCACCCTCCACCATCCACGATGCCTGTGGTCTATCCAGCCCAAATGTACCCTCATCCTCATATCACACCTAAAAAAGGTGTAGGGCCACGGGGTGTACTCCCGGGGTATACCCCGTCCCCCGAGCACACATAGGGTAACTACCCGACGCATGCGGGGGCGAACATACCACGCTTCACTGGAATATGATTCCCACACACTACTGAATGTCGTCGAGCGCAATAAAAACACAATCCCCGAACTATCATCATCATTTGAAGTCAGAGGGCCCGGCCACCGAAAATATTTAGTTTTCTCTTGCTTGGCACAACCGACCGTGGTCACAAGTGCCCAACCAAAGTGGAAAGGGTTTAGGATCGTCAGGGTTTTTGCACTATTTTCGATATCCTGGTCATCCCCTTTGGTCACAACTGACAAAGCCCTAGAATTCGTCTTCTTCCCCTTCCCCGCGCAGACTACAGATGGAAAGGGGGTCCCAATTTTCCGGGGAGAGAGTGACTTGCAAGGCATGGGGAACAAGGGAAATGAGCCGGCTTCCCACAATGCTATGCGGGCGCCTAATTTTGTTTAGGGCGCACACCCACCACCAGACCTGTTCTCTCACATTAGGCCTATGAGTGCTTTCACGCAAAATTTTACGGCGTTAGTTTTTTGGGTGTAGTTTTACTTTGGACCTCAACGTAAACCCCCGTAGATCTACGGGACGGACCCTAAAAGGTTAAACTTAACCATTACCACTTTTTAAAAATTAATCCATGCAAACTTCATGGTTTAAACCCCCCTTTTAAAGGGTCATTAATCTAAAATTTAAATAAACAGTTTTCCCCAAAAAAACCATAAATTTTTCGCAAGATTTTAGGTAAAAAAACCCTGGAAACTTGGTTTTGAACAATGTCATTTAAAAATTTAAAAACGAATGAGGTGGGAATAAAAATAAATTATTATTTTAAAACAAAAAAACGCTAAACCACAAGGGCTTACAGCAATAAAAAAAATTGTACCCTACCCAAATTTATCTAAATTTCACTACAAAAACTTTTGATATAAATGTGCAAAAACGCTTTTAAAAAATTAAAATTATGAATTTTATGGGAATAAGAAAACAAGTTTGGGACATTCCCCAGAACTGGTGTGGGTTCTTGATCTAAGGGCTGATGACCCCTTTTGGGGTTTGCACTTAGTTTTTATTATAATAACTATCTAAGGAATTTTTATTTTTCTCCCCCTTCCCTTTTATTGAACAAAAGCCTCCAAAAGGCTCTGCATAACAAAGGGGCTTTCTAATATAGTACCACAGGGTATAAACCTTGAAAATTTTTACATAAACCACCCCATTTAATGCTGTATGACCACTGGGATTGGGGATGTTTTTTTTTTTTAATATTGGGAAAAAAACAACCCTTTGGGTTTTTAAAATTAACCCTGAATAAAATCAGTTCAGAAATATAAATTTTATTTTCATAAAACCTGTATGAAGTATTTATTTCCAAAGAAGAAGGCTGGTTAAATTTAAAATGCAGATCATTCAATACTAAACCATTATTTTCTCTTGAGAATGGTAACTATATTGGTAAAGGAATCTTGATCCAAGTGGACTTGTTCTCCCCTCTCCTGAATCAAACCTGAATGTTTACATTTCCCCCGGGGCTAATGACCCCCCATGTTTGCACTTCCCCATGAATATAATTACTTATGATTCACACTTTCCCCAAAAATAGGGGTTATTTTTTACCTTTACATTGCCAGGCTAAGTTTATTGCCATTCCTTATGATGCTGCAACCTTTACATTTAAAGCTCTTTCTCGAATATATACTTTATGATAAATTTTAAATTGCTCAGGGCCGAGTACAGTACGAAGACGCACCTGGAAAAGAAAAAAAATTAGCCCGTTATAAGTTTTCCTTACTAATGAAGGAATAACATTGATACAGTAATTTGTGTGAAGGGTAATGAGCCATAACTAAGGGTGTGCACTCCAGTGACAACTGCTGCATGTTTGATTACTTACAAAACTTTACCCTACTGCTTTTTTATCCAGAAGTGTGAATCATAGCAGTTACCAAAAATGATTTACAAAATACCTGATTCTTCAACTGAACGTCCCATCAAGGAAGGTTCCTTTACAATGGTGAGGGGCTCTTGATCTAGGGAACTGGATCTGTGCTCCAGTTCCCTGAATTCAGCCTGAATACCTTCCACATCCCCCCACAGGCGCTGTATAATCCTATGGGTTTAGTGCTTCCCTGTTCGATTCTAATAATAATTCAACTGAATGTGGTTGCACAACTGTGCTCAGGTCCATCATCTTTTCCTTAACTTACTCATTGTCTTATACATAGAACTATGTTAATGACACCAGGGTTGTTGACATAGATCTACATTTCAAGTTTGGCTCTCGGATGAGCTGCAAGTGGAAAATTTTGGGCATAAACATGAGAGCATGGGCCTGTGCAGTGAGGTTTAGTGCTTAGTTATGTTTTTTTTTTTTTATTAACAAATCAGCCATTTCCCATCAAGGCATGATGGCCCAAAAAAGAAAAACTTTCATCATCATTCACTCCATCACTGTCTTGCCAGAGGCATGCCTACACTACAGTTATGAAACTGCAACCCATCTCCAGGACTCAAGTCCGGCCTGTTGGTTTCCCCGAATCCCTTCATAAATGTTGCCTTGCTTACACTCCAACAGCATGTCAAGTCCTAAAAACCATTTATATCCATTCAATCCTGTCTAACACGCTCATGCATGCTTGCTGGAAGTCCAAGCCCCTCGCACACAAAACCTCCTTTACCCCCTCCTTCCAACCTTTCCTAGGCCGACCCCCTACCCTGCCTTCCCTCCATTACAGATTAGTTATGATTATAACAATAATAACTGCAAATTCAAAATGAAGGACAACTGGAATTAATATAGGAGAGGTCTGAGGATCTCTATGGGAAAGTGGAACAGAATTCTTCCTCCATAAGCCATGTGTGTCATAAGGGGCAACTAAAATGCCGAGAGCAAGGGGCTAGTAACCCCTTCTCCTGTATACATTACTAAAGTTACGAGGAGAAATTTCTTTTTGGGCCACCCTGCCTCGGTGGGATATGACTGGTTTGTTTAACCCTTTGAGGGTCGACAGGCCCTCTCCGAAACTCGTTCTCAGGGTCGGCCAAATTTAAAAAAAAAAAAAAATTATTTTCTCTTATGAAAAGATAGAGAATCTTTTCCCGATCATAAAGACACCAAAAGTTTGAAATTTGATAGAAAACTTACGGAATTATGCTCTCGCAAAGTTAGCGGTCTCAGCGATGTTTGCGCATCGGCGATTTTGCCCACTTTGAGCCCCATTTTCGGCCAATTTCACTGTACTAGTCGACAAAAAACATGAATATTTCGCTAGAACTCCATTTTTTCTATCGAATGGGTGCAAGAAACCACTCATTTATGAAATAAAACTATCCAGTACAGTGGTCAGAATTTAGCAATTTTGCCAATTTCACACAAATTTCAAAAGATGCCAATTTCCGAATAGGGTCCAGAATAAACAAGAAAGACATTCCTGGCACTAAAATGACATTTCCTCTAGTCATTAGTCATGTCTCAAGGCCCCTCTTATATTCTTTTGCTTTCCACTTTGAATTTTTATTTTCACAAAAAATATAAGATTTACTGTTATGCAGACTACTGCATTAGTGTAAAAAATGGTATAAATATTATTGGTGCACTTGTGAAAGAATATTAGACTCACCAGTTGACGTGTATTGCACGCTTGGCACGATTTGTTTACTTTTGAAGTTTGGTAAAAATCGAACATTTCTGCTACTTTGAGCTCAATTTCAAGGCACCTTTCTTTGTAAAACCAGTCAAAATCATCTCAATTTCTGTAATATGTCTTCCATTTTATAAAATGAGACCAAGAAAACTAGAATACAACAATAAATACCATACGAAAATACACTGCGAAGTCGCTGATTTATTAAAAAAAAATGGTCAAAGTTTTTTTTTTCTCATTATGCACTGTGTGCTGCAGGATTTTTTTTAGACTGTGCACACTGACCACATAGACCCATTCTTTCATATGAAGGCCTACCAGCTTTCTCCCACTAGATTTGAGGCCGCTAGAATTTACGAGTACTAGTACGTCAAAAACCCCTACGCGTAAGACGTACTAGTACGACGAAAACCCTCAAAGGGTTAAAGAAGGTCTGAGGATGTGATTACTGGACAGAGGAAATGCTGAATTAGTGCCTGGAATGTCTACAGTCTTCTATTTTTGGGCTGGTTTTAAATTTTAATTTTTTAAGTGTGCAAAACTGGCCAAATTACCAAATTCTGTGCACATTATAAGGTAGTTTTGACAGATGAATGGGTGGTTTCTTGTGCATAATTGATAAAACGGAAGGTATACCAGTATATCAGTAAAGAATATAGTTGAATTGAGCAATGTAACTGCCACCATGTTTTCAGTGGACACCTAGTCTTCTGGCATAGTGGTCTAGGATGTTGAGAGTTTGGCTAGCTTCCCAGAAGGCTGCCTAAATGGCAGATGAGGCTGCCAGTCACAGTATGTTCTTTGCTTTAAAACCACTTTTTTCGGTGGATGCACTGAGCGATATTTTTTCTTTTAACTCAGTGGATGTCTTCCACCAGAGCAGGGTGACTCAGTCAAGGAAACACATTCATTATAATTTAACTGCTTTCTGTCAGAAATGAACTAACATCACAATTCAATTTATTCTTTGACTGCAATATCCCCACGCCTCCATAGTGTACGCACTATACTATATTAGACACCCAGAAATAGGTAATGAAAAAAATAAGCAATACTTTACTAGGGTTATTAGTTGATCTGATTTTTTCTGGGGCTTCTGGTTTTCTACATCATTCAGAAGTGCTGAGAGATTCTCTTCAAGCTGTTCATCTGTCATACCAAGCTGCAAGAAAATTAATTGAGACCAATTCACATTTTTTTGTTACATGAGTAATATTAGAGGAAAGTGAATACTGGAGAACTATTATTATTATAATCAAAACTACATGCTAAACCCACAAGGGTGAATACTGGAGAAAAGTACTGTATAGTATGTACTGAACAAATAATTTTATTTCAGTACATGGGGGTCAATTATAAACATACTATAAACATTATTTAATTTTTTAACACCAGTTGTTTCCCATCCAGGTGTAGTAACCCAAAAATGGAAAAACATTCACTATCATTCATTCAACAGCTGTCTTGTCCGAGATGCACAGATATCACAGTTCCAATGACCCTCTGAAATGCAACATCCCCACTCCCACTGTGCTTTCTGCCTTCAAGACTCAGGTCCAGCTAACCAGTTTCAACAAATGTCTTCATAAATGTACCATGCTCACATTCCAACATGTAAAAAAAAAAAAAAAAAAAAGTCTCCACTCATTACAATCTAACATCCAGCGCTGGATGTTCAAGTTCTAACACAGAAAACTATTTTTTTTTTTTTTACAGGTTGGACAGTAAATATCTTGGGAAGTACTACTGTCCTGTCAAATGAGTGTGAAATGGAAACCTGTTAATTTTTTTACAGTAACAAAATTGCTGATCTTTTGTCTCGTGAACACACAAGATGACGGGTAAATCTTACAAACTTTTACTTACATTCACCTTTACTTTCCCAAGTGCTTCTTAACCCGTAAACGGTCCAAACGTATATACAGTGGACCCCCGCATAACGATCACCTCCGAATGCGACCAATTATGTAAGTGTATTTATGTAAGTGCGTTTGTACGTTTATGTTTGGGGGTCTGAAATGGACTAATCTACTTCACAATATTTCTTATGGGAACAAATTCGGTCAGTACTGGCACCTGAACATACTTCTGGAGTGAAAAAATATCGTTAACCGGGGGTCCACTGTATACGTTTTTTCAACATTTGAAAGTATGTAAAAAAAGTAGATTTTTTTTTTTTTTGTTATATTTGAAAATGTGTAAAAAAAACGTAGATCTACTTTTGTAGCACTACACATGTGAACGTAGATCTGCTTGGACCGTTTACGGGTTAATAGGTATTAATCCTGTCTTATTTCCTTTTTAACCTAGGCCAGATCACATATAGCCCCCTCCCCCCCCCTCTAACCTTTCCTCCATTCTTCCATCCCAGACTTAAGAAACCTCTTGGTCATTGTATCCTGCTTCATCCCTCTAAATGACTAAACATCTCAACAATCACTCCTCAACCCTCTGAATACCTCTGGTAATTTGACTTCATAATATTTACAAAATATTTACACAACACACAGCTCTCAAACATGACATCACCATTGCCTCTAGATATGTCCTTGCTGCAACATGTATAGCCCATGCCTCATACACCTTGCATGCTTTTTTGCCTTTATAAACTCCTTTCTTTACACAGGTACTTCAACATACCACCTACCTTTTAAATCTAGTTAATGTTCAAAGACCCATCTGCTGGCATGTCTGCTGTTTCATATAAATAAATACATTTAGTACTTCCTCCAGACTACCTCTTTCCAATCTGATCGCTAATCTTTCATTGCCTTATTTTTACATGCCCTCCCAAATTCATTCACCAACAATAACAATTATATAAAAAATAATAATCTAATACGGTACCTGTACAATCGTAATAATATTAAAATAATAATGGTCAAGTATTTTAATAGTATTAATGAAAAAAATAAATAAAAATATTTATTCATAACAAATAAATAAATATGGTGTATATGTTTAGAATTAGAGGAAATAGAAGTCGGTATTTTGAAAATAACTGATTCTATTATAATTGGAAAAAAAAATTAAGTAATACAGTATTAGTTAATTTTTAACAATGCTAGGCTCAAATTTTCCAATATTTCAGCCCCTCAAGGAAGGTTCCTTGATAATGGCGAGAGGCTCTTGATCTAGGGAATTGGATCTGTGCTTCAGTTCTCCGAATTAAGCCTGAATACCTTCCATCTCCCCCCACAGGCGCTGTATAATCCTACGGGTTCAGTGTTTCCCCATGATTACATATACATGTAATAACAATAATCCAATACAGTGGACCCCCGCATAACGATTACCTCCGAATGTGACCAATTATGTAAGTGTATTTATGTAAGTGCGTTTGTACATGTATGTTTGGGGGTCTGAAATGGACTAATCTACTTCACAATATTTCTTATGGGAACAAATTCGGTCAGTACTGGCACCTGAACATACTTCTGGAGTGAAAAAATATCGTTAACCGGGGGTCCACTGTATTTCAGAATGCCTTAAGATCAAGGTAAAAAGTATTTTATGCTAAACTTATCTACAGTGGAACCTCGGTATACGACCTTAATTCATTCCAGAAGTGCCGCTCCGTTTCAGTATCGAACAAGTTCTTCCCAATCAATTTTCTGTTTAGTTGGCTGTTATCACTAATTGTCTTAGGCCCCATGGTGACTTATTTATACAAATAATACCAAAACACACCAAAAAATGCGAAGAAACACGTAGTAGTTTTCCGGCAGGTCGTATTTGTTTGGTTGAGTGCTCAGCTTTGTTCAAGTAGGGAGCTGGTCGTATACCGAGGTTCCACTGTATATGTAATAGTACTAAAACTGGTTAACACTTACCAAAGTCAACCATGCTGTTAACACTTGCCGTATTCAACCTATAACTATGGATTAAAGTTGAAGCAACAGTGAAGTCCTGAGCCCCCCCAAAAGAATCAGTCTGTGCTGCTGGGGTAGCTAGCCAATTTGCATCCCCTTCCTACCCCTTGTAAGCAGTAGCACAATTGGCTGACTATCAAGGATCACAGTGGGGGTTTAGTATACCCTGGCAGGTACAGCCAGAAAAGTGGAAAATAATAGTTACACTCTCATGATAATACAAACAGTAGACATGATCATGATGCCCGAAATGTCTGAACATGAACACCAAAGTCTGTGCAAAAATTCTCTATGACAAACACATCATATGAGGCGTTACACGGCAGGAAAGAATGAGTGCCAAATTCAAACAGTGGAGAAAAATGAAGGCATGAGGAAGATCTGAGCTATGAAGCTCATGTTACCCTATTGAGTTATGGGCCTCTGAGCCTAACTTACAGATGTAGAAGACAATATCTATCCATTCCACAAACAAAATATTAGAGAATCGATTCATTCACTAACCAGGATTTTGGTGGTAACAACACTTATTCTTCTCTGCCATGCAACATCTCACATTAGTAATGAGAAAACATCACTCATACTTCTTATAGGCCATAAACAACCCAAATCAGAAAGATGAGGAATAGGACTGGGACCCCTAAAATTGTTGAGGCTGGAGACAGCACCCAGGAACACATTATACTAAGGCATCAAATGTGTTAGACTGTGGATGGTAAGTGCAGAGGCAATCATTATCTTACAGTATGAAAGTTCATTAACCACTTGTCAAACAGCAGAGCCACCAGCTGCAGTGATTTATTTATTTATTTATTTATTAATTTGAACATGATACAGAGAAGTACAAAAGAATACAGTTAAATGCAGCATGCCAAAGCCACTTGAATGCATAGCATTGTGGGCAGGCTTAAAATTAACTTAAGATTAACTAAGCAATGAAGTATTCAGTGGTAAAACATTATTGTAAACAGATAACAATTAAGCACAAATGAGTATTACGAAAACAGGTCGTATGGTTGCTTGCATTGCTGTACAATCAGTATTTATTTATTTATTTATGGGCAGGCTTAAAATTAACTTAAGATTAACTAAGCAATGACATATTCAGTGGTACAAAAATTATTGTAAAACAGATAACAATTTAGTACAAATGAGTATTACAAAGACAGGTCATATGGTCATTTACTGTGTTGCTGTGTAATCAGTAGAATGGAGTATTCTGTTAGGTAATGAAGTTAAATAGTAACAAAGTTTGATTGGGTCACAGGTTGACATTTATGAGATACAATAATGAGATACACATATGAGATACAATTTATGAGATACAATTATTCAGTATTTATTTAGTTGTGGGTGAGTAAGTGATTTTTGAGAAAAGACTTGAATTTATAAACAGTGTTTCTTTTATATTCACAGGTAATGAATTCTAGATTTTTGGGCCTTTTATGTGCATTGAGTTTTTGCAAACCGTGAGATGGACACGAGGAACATCAAAGAGTGATCTGTGCCTTGTGTTATGGTCATGTGTTCTGTTAAGGTTGGTAAGGAGATGTTTGAGGGGAGGGTTTATGTCAGAGTTAAGTGTTCTATGTATGTAGTAGGTGCAGTAATAAGTATGGACGTTCTGAATTGTGAGTAGGTTTAGAGGTTTGAATATTGGTAGAGTGTGTTGTCTGTAGTGGGAATTTATCATCATTCTGACTGCAGCCTTTTGTTGGGTGATTAGTGGTCTGAGATGGTTTATTGTTGTTGAGCCCCATGCACAAATTCCATAGGTGAGATAGGGGTAAATAAGCGAGTGATATAGGGCCAGGAGGGCTGACTGTGGAACATAGTACCGTATCTTCGATAGTATGCCTACGGTCTTGGATTTTTTTTGGAAATTTGTTGTATGTGTGTTTGAAATTTGAGTCTATTATCAAGGTGGATTCCTAAGAATTTTCCCTCTGTGAGTTTTGTGATAGGTGATTCATTTATCATTATGTTTAGAGACACATCTGTAGCTCTGTTACCAAACTGAATGTAGTAGGTTTTGTCAATGTTTAGAATAAGTTTATTGGTCCTCATCCAGGTTGATATTTTCTGTAATTCGGTATTTACATAGTAAAAAGACAGGTAATCAAGGCTCAACCCCAGAAAAACCCTGGGGCCCAGAGAGTAGCTAGGATTCATTAGACTTGATCTGGAGGTAGCATGTATCATGGGCCTCTCCGGGGCTAGGGGCTCAATCCCTCGATTGACAATGGGTCCACCAATGGAGGAGGCAACCATGTGTAGCTGTAACACTAGG